CTAACCCTAAACCTAATCTTTCACGCCTAAATAATCAGACTTAGCTTAGCTTCGCTTCTATTCATTTATAATTAGTAAAAGTACACTTGATTTCAACAAATGGAGTCCGGTGGTTTTCTTTCCTGATTTGTGAATGAAGAAGGGCTGACAGATACCCCTTGTCCTATGGCCTTCAGATACTCTGCCCTCCTCTTTTGAAGTCCCAGAGCATACAGGTTTTTTTTTAGTTTAGGGAGACATTTGAGGATAACCTAACCTCAAATCCATCAAAACAAAACAAACCTTTTTTTTGGTTGCTTCTGGGGACCATGAAATCACCAGCATCACCCTCTGCGGCTCTCAAGAGGCCAAAACGGTTTTAGAAAATGATGTTTCCCCTGTTTACCCATTTAATCTAACCATGTGGTCCTCCAGAGAAGCATTAGAGGCTGCCCTTCTCTCTCTGCGTTGATACGGTCTCTCCCTTGGGAGGTTGAGACGGTAATGAAGAGCAAGAAAGGACATGGACCTTGGAAGGTGCTCTATGAGGTTGACTCTAAAGATGGATCTTTCCCTCCACTGCTTACCTTTGACATCTTCTTCTGTGGTCTGAGTTGTAGTGGTGATGGTGGTTTGAGTGATGCTGTCATCGTAGTATCCTGGCTCCACGTAATAGTCATCCCAGGCAGTACGGAAACGGTTAGAGTCAGGAGCACTTTCTCCAGGAATCTCTTCTTCTTCCTCCTCTTCCTCCTCCTCCTCCTCCTCTTCTTCTTCCTCCACTTCCTCTTCCTCTTCTTCATCCACATTCCTGTCTTCCTCCAATTCCAAGCTTTCTTCCTCTGTTGGAATACGCCCTGTCGGGACTTTGTTGCTGAAGAAAAGATCCATCGAGTTAAGATCGCAAACAAGTCCATCAAGCAACAAGATGCATTTGAGGAACAGGGGAAAGGGACCAGAGAGACTTTTCCCCCCTGGGAAAAGGAAAATATTCCTATTCAACTATATCAGTGTTTCTCAACCTTGGCAACTTGAAGATGTCCGGACTTCAACTCCCAGAATTCCCCAGCCAGCATT